GGGTCCATTTTATGGCAGTAGACAGAAGCTGGAGTCAAAGCAATTTACGATTCCAAAGCTTACAGTGGAAAAAAATTGTATAAACAGTCCCCAACAAAGAATGTATCACCCTTCCCTCACGACCGCTGAGAGGGAGCCCTGTTTGAAAAGAGTATCTGGCTTGGGATATGACTGAAGTGATGGCCTAGGATTTCGCTCTGCCATTTTGGATACCTGTTTCCCGAGGACTTACAAACGCAAATGCAAAACACCTGAAGAATACAGTACTCTATTGGAAGGGCGCGCAGAAGAAAGTGAATTGCAGCTTTAATTTCCCCCCTTTTCCGGGATCTATGAGGAACCAGCAGAGGGGACTGAAGAGTGTTAAAAACAAGAGAAAACCCTGAAGCCTCAGGCCATTAGTCACGGGATCTCACACTGACAAGCAGATTTCGTTTCCTTGGACACATTTTTGTTGTTCCATCTCAAGTATTCCCAAAGATCCTCACTGAGGAAAGTAGGCCATCAAAGAGGCATTGATGTACCTTCAGGCCAGCCCCTCTGGTTTCCAAACTGAGATATCACCATGTTTACCGAAATGCAACCCAGACTCAGAATTCGAACTCCCTCCTCCTGCCCCCACCCCACGCTTGGCAGGTGGCCACTTCCGGAAGAGGCCAGGGAAAGCTTCCACAAGTACATTTCAAACAGGTTCTACTCAGCGAATTTTCACTTTGGCAAAGACCCGGGTGCAAAATTAGGGCCAGAAATGCCGGCCCTCATAAGATCTTTTAAAAAGGAAAGAAACAATGAACCTGATTTTTGCAGTTAACTATGTTGCACCTCTCCGACTCTCCCTACCTTCTTCCTTCTCCTAAAACCAACTCATGCAAAAGAGAAGACAAAAGCACTTTGCACCGGATTTTACATTTTACGAAGCGACTTCCACGGAGGAAATAATTTTGAACCAATGAAACTGATCACTAGATGTTGCCTTCCTTGCCAGTGGAGTTCGTTTCCTTTGACTTCTTTTGACTTTCTGATGACTTTGCCATCGAATTCAGGCATGGGGGCTACGGGGGGGCGGGGGGGGGCTACGAGGGGGTGGAATGTTCTGAATGCACTCGGTGAGCTGCCCTGAAAGTCCCATTATTTCCCCTTTGATGCAAATGCACATGGCTAATCTGGAAGCTTATCCCCAACTACAGTCCTTAAAAAATCTTCTCTGGCTTCTAGATTCAAAGAAGATTTTTTAAAAACAGGAATCAGTTCTGCTAATCGTGCGTGAGGTTGGCTATCTTTTTACCCTGTTATAATCAGGTGACCTAAGATGTAAGAAGGGCACAAGGGGCACAGGAGGGGAGGAGAAGGGGGACTTGAAGGGCTTCGCAAGGGAAAGCACGTAGAGAGGAGAAGGAAATGGTCAGCATGAAGTTCATTTTGGGGTTTCCTATATTTTTATAAAATGCAGCTTTGTCACGGAATCTGAACATTTCTTTTACTGGACACAGCACTCGTCACCACCAGGCTTTAATCTGGGCCAATTAACCATTAGTGGGGCAGGAGGCCAGTAGCTAGGAGAAGCATTATAATTTCATGTTTCCACGTCTTTGACTTACAGCCATGTGGCAGGAGAAAGAAGCACAGCTTGAAATAAAGAAAATTGTCAATGGCTTAGAAACATGCTTTCTCTATACAGCAAACTCTGAACCCTGGATCAAATGTGCTTGAGAGAACCACCACACGACACACCACGCCAGGTTTTTCCTTCCAAATTTGGGATCCCCAGGAATGTCACGAGGTAACGATTTAAATGAGAAAACGACGGTTTAGTGTGTTTTGAATGTCCAGTAAAGCACTGTTTTAAATAACCTGTCCTCCTGGGAGCCAAGTATCATCCGACGGTTATTTCTTGAAGAGCCTTTTCACTCTCACAGGCTCTTGCCAAACCTTCTCTGCCATTTCAGAGATGACGGACATTTTATCGCAAATCCACTTCCAAAATGATTGGTGCTACCCTCGCTTTTATGGATAAGTAATCGTTCACAGGTATCAATCAGGCCAGAGAAGAACAGTTTCAAAGCCATATACTTAGCACCCACCAAATTTCAGGCCAATTCTCACAGTCCACAAGCAAGCAAGCCCCCACCATCATGGTTCAGCGCACCCCGCTCTGAGGAAGGTCAGGAGCACAGTACAAAGGACCTCACTGATACAAAAGAGAGAGGAATCACTGAACATTTCGGACACTGATGAGGACCAAAGGGCCTTTGTTCTGCCACATTCAAATGAGAACTTTTCAAGACCACAGATGACAACAGGGAGCAAACAAGCAATGATTACTCTTTTGCATTCTTTTGTTTTTTTTAAACTTTCTTTTTAATAGAGCCTTGCATTGGTCAGTTCAAAAATTAAATTCAGTATTATAAACCCTTAATAATAGCATTTCGAGAGGCAAGAGCAGCTCCAGCTGGGGAGAGAACATTTGTAAATCGTGGCAGCCACGGCTAATGCCATCACCGGTACGTGCGTGCATTCATGCCGGAGGCTGCTACAGAAAGGGAAATCAACGAACCAACAAAATCTGGGGTGTCTAAAGTTTCATCTAGTGCACTGACTGGAGGTGCTACAGTGTAATCCAGCTGAGGTTTAAGGTCCCTCACACATCCTCCATCCAGAAAGGATGCACCACACATTCAAATATAATCCCATGATACGCCCTGATGGACTGGCCACAAAACGCACTCGGATGCAGTAGAGAACTACGAGATTGTCAGCAAGCAGTGCTCCAGAAAACGTTTCTAAGTCATGTCTAGTTTTAAATCTTTGGAATAAAACTGATTTTTTTTTTTTTTTAAAAATACCCTCCAACTAACATATACAGAATTGCCTCCAGCAAATGGGCAGATTAATATGTGTGTGTGTTTTAGGGTGGTTTTTCTTTTTGTTTTGTTGTTGTTGTTGTTGTTGCTGTTGTTGGTTTTTGTTCTTGTTGTTGTTGTTGTTGCTGTTGTTGTTGCTGTTGTTTTGTTTTTTGGTCTACATTGCAAAAGGGGAAAAGAGAAAGAAAACTTTAAGGGCCGGACCTCAGAATGCCCAGGTGTCCCATCGGTAGCTACCGTATTTGTGATCAGGAGGCTCCTTTACCCTTTGATGGGCACTTGTCAACATTTCAGGGAAATCAAAGTTTGCAGAGAGCTGAGAAACCAAATGCCAAGGATCTTGAAGGTTGCTGTCATACATGTATTTGTGTTTCTTATATTATTATTTCCTTTTAAAGACTTCAGTTTTGCATCCCAAATAGGTATGGGGTGGCATTTTAACAGTCAATGAGTCAAACAGTCAAAGGAGGGCAGAAGGGGAGCCAGCTGGTAGGAAGGAGCAGCAACCATGTGCGGACCAAATGCCATTTTTGTTTTTTAGACATGTCTTGAAGGGATGGTCCCAGAATATACAAAATATACAATCTGTCCTAATAACCACCCCGCTTGCTTGCATAGGCCATTTAATGGTCCTAAAGGCAGTCTTTGGAGTTGAGGCCAGTGCCAGCTAGCTAAGAATGCGGGTAGATAAGAGACCGATATTGGATGTGTGTGGGATGGAGAGTGAGGAATGTGAACCCCCTTGGAGTCAGCTTGCAGAGTGAATGGGAGGCCTCTGTTGATCCTGGGTGCTCTAGGTCACAGGTCATGATGGGTCTAGCCAAAAAGAATTAGAAACGTGTCTCTCCTTTCAGACCATGAGAGAAACTTTTCAACCCTTTCCTTAAATGTCCACCCTTCATTCCCACAATGGCATTTTGAATTGTGTGTTTTAACAAGTGGGGGCGTATGAGCTCAGTGGGTATGAGAGAGGAAGATAGGACGATGTTTTCTGAAGCCACTAGACTCGGGAGGCATCCTCCATTTTCCCCACTCCTGGAAAGAGTGATATTTTTGGCTTTTTGTCAGGTCATAACCCAGAGTTAGGTTAAATATGCAGCTGCCCTTTGAGACTAGCGACATCTATGCTGAAACTGGTTATAGGGTAGCAATGACTCACAGCACGGGGTTGATCACTATGCGCTGAGGTCATGATGCCTCAAGGGGGATGAGAGAACTGTGATGTCCCATCTGATTGGCTGCTTCGAGAGCTGGACATCCAGGTGCCGAGAGAGTCCTGGAGAGGTTTAGTCCATGGAGAAAAGATAAAACATTTAAGCTTCCAAATAAGCTTTTCAAGTTTTCGTTAGCAAAAACAGAGAGATTAAAAAGAAAAAATCTAGCACTGGCAATAAGGTGAGGCTCAAGGGATATACTGTGATTTATCATCAAGGACTTTATTCTCTTGGCCACTTTGCAGTCATGCTAGAAGTTTCCAGAATCCCTAGTGCATATGGTGTGCAAGAGTCAAAAAGTAAGAAAAGAAAACTCCTCCCTTGAGAGTGAAGTCTAGAGAAATGCAGGCCAGAAAGGTGTAAGGTGTTATTCCAGAGTCTGCCGCCGCTAAGGCCGTTGGTATCGACTCGAAAGATCTCAATAGTACTAAGAAGAACCAAAACCGATCAACAGTTCTGTGAGGAAGTCGGACGCACGGAATAGTAGGACTTTTCACACACAAAGGACAAATAAACCAAGAGTTAATTTTGGCTACCAAACTGCAATTTGGTTTTCTAGGTCATTTTCCCCCAACTATTTAAAAAGAAACATTAGTGCTACACATATGCAACTTTACGACGTTGTATTCTCCTATCAAGTTGCACTGAGAAGCAAGTTAAATAAGCCCCTCTTACTGCCGTCCACCTGCACAGACGTCACATCCATTTTCTTTGATTTCCATTGGCAAAGCGGGAAATAATTCCAATAGTGCTGAAGTAAGCAGCCAGTCTGCCTTGCTGAGTTCATCTGGTTTCCTCGTTCTTCGTCTTCTACCATCTGGCAAGGGCAAGGCATAAAGAATAGACGTATATATTTTAAATATAGCTGAGTGCATGACAGTGCGTGTGTGTGGGTCTATGTGAGTGCGTGTGTGTGTGTCTGTGTGTGTGTGTCTGTGTGTGTCTGTGTGTGTGTGTACACAGAGGTTTATGAGTGAGAACTTTCTTCTGCGAGGCAATGGATCCCCGCCTGAAGTCCAGCCCCCGGCCGCACGGCATTTCCTTCAGACAACGGCCGACGCCATGGCAACTCTGGCCTTTAGGGGTTTTAGATATGTCTCTTCATATGGAGGGCAAGATGGTCAGACCTGGAAAAACACCTAGGAAATATAAACAACAACAAGGATTTAAGAGGTGTCCAGGCAACAAACTCAACTTCCAGAACCCCTTAGAAAATGATTAACCCTACCTCAAAGAAAGGCAGTACATATGTACTGAGAAACTAGGCACTGTTTGGGGAAGGTGAGCTCAAGGTCAGACTGCGTGGATTCAAACCCCAGCTCTTCCAATCCTTGTGTGACCCTGAACATATTGACCTCTCTGTGCCTTCATTCCTCCTCAGTAAAATGGGGATAATCATAGCGCTCACCTCATAGACTGGTTCTGAGGATTAAATGAGATGATCTACATAATGTGTTTAGAATATTGCCTGTCACATGGTAAATGTCCGTGAATGTTAACTATTATCATAGTCGTCATTACTAAAGAAGAACCTAATATTTGGGACGTGCTTCAGAAACACAGGACATGCCCGTATACCAGAAGAATGGTAGAAAATGATTAAATTGTTTCATCCAATGGTGCCTTCAGGTCTCTTTTATGCCAAGTCAAGAAAAAGAACAGAGAAGTGAGCTCACCTTTATTGAGAATAAGATAACATGCAAGCATGTGCTAGGCATTTCCCCAACATGACCTAGTACCATTCTTGGCAACCTTCCATGCTGAGTGTTCACACTTCACACTTGTGTGTATGTGTGGTAATGAAGCTGAGGCGAGGGTCACGTAGCTTGTTAGTGGAAGATTTGGGATTAAAACCCAAGCAGATATGCAAGCCCCCTCTTCCAAATGCCCACCCTTTCAAACACCCAGTTTTCTCGGTCCCTGAAGGCCAACTCTGAGTGCCTTCCTCAGCCTCAGAGCAAAGGTAGTGGTCATCTTCACTCCTCCCCCTTTCCTTTGGCACCAGAAACTTGATCTTCTCTTGGGTAGCTGTGCTTCTGTGCTCCTAGTTGTATGGGGCTGACCCTCCTCCTAAGGCTAAAGCTATGGCCATGGTGGTCATTAAGCGACAGTCACATGAGCCATCAAGGTTCATGAGAGCCAGTCCTGGAACACTTGTTGAAACTATTCAAAAAGAGAAGCTCTTTTCCCGCTGGGGCTACTGTGCTATTAAGACTAAAGGCTAAAGCTGCTGGTGTCCATATGGCCATGTGGGAAAGAGTCTGCTTGAGAATGAAGTCAACAGAGAAAAATGGGCAGGAAGATAGAGAGAGAGAGAAAGAGGCTTGATGACAACATCTGAGACCCTAGATCCATACCTAAAGACCAATCTAATTTTGGTCTCCTTTTGGCTGAGCTAATAAATACCCTTCAAAGCTAACACCAGCCTGAGTCAGGTTTCTGCATCGTATAACTAATGGAGTGGGCATTTCCACATCCCCGCAGCCTACAGTCTAAGGCTCTGGCTAGAATCACAGTAAAATCAGCACACGAGATAGCAATCATTCCTAGCCCTGAGTGTGTGCTCTCCCTCTGGGTTCTTCTCTTGAAACTGGCCAACTATTACCTGTGAAGATATTCCTAGACTCTCCCAAGGCCCAAGACATGCTCACAGTCCAGTTTCTCATTAGGATGTTAGCAAGCTGCCCTGTTCAGGTTAGAAGATTTCCTGTTCCACGCAGGATTTCCCCATGTTTGTTCTCTTAAACAAAAAACCCACCCTATCTTGTGACCCCAACATTCTCCACCCACACTGTGTTGATTTTTTAAATAGGCACATGTACAGGATAGAACCCCAAGGAAATGAAGTAAAACAGAACCAAGGCAAAATGAGAAACACATAAGAAAGGGAAGGTACGGTAGAAAATAATGTAATCTAATAACATATTGAATAATTCTAATTCTAATTCTACCCACTTATTTCAGGCCCTAATTTAATATAAGCAAGATATTTGGATAATCCCTTAGAATGCCATCAAAAGGGGATTTAATTTATCATAAAACAGCGACAAATATTCTTTAAAAGTAAGTGCTTGATGTCACTAGTATGCAGAAGAGCAATACAGCCTTTAGGGAATTCAGCAGTTAACTCCCCTGACCTCTTCTGTCCTGAGGGCACATCAGTATTGCCCACTGCCTGTTCTCTTTCTTCCCTCCCTCCCTCTCTGCCTCCTTTCTGCCCTCCCTCCTTCCTTCCTTCATCCAAACAGCCCAGAGAAAGACGATCTAAGTTGGGAAGTTCTTTTTGTGGGCATTTCCTTTTTAAAGTTAACATCCTTAACAAGAACTCTATAAAGATGCCATTCTTATCTCTTCTACCAGCTGAGATAGTCATTAAAAAGAGGCAGAGCCAAAATCTGAACTTAAGCACTATGACCCCAGAGCCCATGTTCTAGCCACATGTACTCTTTAGACTGAGAAGGGAGACTGAGCTGTCAATTTCAGGAGATTATAGCAAGCAGAATAATGGGTTCCCCCCAACCAAATGTCTACACCTAATCCCCGGAAACTGTACATATGTTAGGTTACAAGGCAAAGGAGAATTAGGGCTGTGGATGAAATTAATTTGCTAATCAGGAGATTATTCCTGATTATCTGGGTTGGGTCAATATCATTTAGAATATCTTTAAAAACGGAAGAGGGAATTCAAAGAGAATACAGAGAGCAGCATGGGAGGACTCAACAGCTTGGATGATGGAGGGATGGGGTGAGCAGGCAAGAGATATGGGCTACCTCCGGAAGCTGGAAAAGATGAGGAAATGGGTTTTCCCTAGAGTTTCTAGAAAAAAGAACACATCCCTGCCAATACCTTAACTGTAGTCCAGAGTGACCTTCTAACCTCTAGGTTACCTATAAGAAGGTACCTATAAGATAAATCATTTGTAAAGTTAAATAAAGATGATACTAACTTTGTGGTGATTTTTAATGGCAGCAACTAGAAAATGAATCCAGAAGTCAGTCTGGTTGGGCCTGAGCTGTGAGCACCTGTGAGAAAGCAACAAAGCAGGCACCAGGAATCCTGCCTGTCTGAGGGAGGAAGAGAGGGATTGCGGATGGTAGTGGGGAAAGACAGGCCTTGGCCTGGGGTCCAAACCTCTTTTCTTTCCTTTCTATGTCCTGGAAACCTAAGGGAAATAGCATTCTTGATACAGAATTTCATTTGCAGAGACCTTTCAGGGATCTATGCATTCCAGACTTCTATTCTGCCTTTCCCAACTGCCGACCATGTGCTGGGCATCTAGCAATATATGTACAAGCATCTACATTTATGCTTTGAGATCTTGCAGGGAAAAAGAAAAGTTAAAAACAACAACAACAAGTATTTAACATGGTATGAAATCTAATCGCACTCCTCCTCAACTGAACAAGCATTGTTATTTCTTCAAATTCTCATACCTACATGGTGCTTAGAATTTCGACTAGGTCCCTCACCATGGGGGTTTTATTTAAATTCAATACACCAGCAAGATACTTAGTCAAGATTAATTTACACTTATTAATTTACACGTGCTGAGCTCCACATAGGAATAGTAAAGGTAATAGATAAACTCACATCTAGAAATGTGGAATCAAATAATTCTAAGGGTAATACACCCCCAGGGAGTATTTATGACTATGTAGTAGTAGTCAGATGACCTTAAATAAGAAGGTCCTTAATGATTGAAATTTGTTCATTACAGAGAACTAGGCAAACCACTATTGTCATTTCCCTTGACTTCTGAAAAAGGCACAGTTAAGTCATGTGGGCATTAAGCCAACAGCAACCCTCCAGGGCACCAAAGGGGCTAGATATAGGTTGGTTTGTCACCACCTATAAGTGGGTTGACTCAAAGATCAAAATGTGTCCTCTTAACAGCCCATGATCTTGCAGGTACTACCCTGATAAGCAGTCTCCCTAAATGACAACTGCACTGAGTTGGCAGAACAATTGCCCGTGTATCACCACCAGTAGAAACAGCTCTGTGGACCACCACCAACAACCCCATGCTGTATGGGCTGGGAAACAAGCCTTATCCTTCCAGCAGCTGGTCAGACCATGGGCTATATGGTACAGTCTGATGGCGAGGAAGTGGCAGAGTCTCACTGTTTCCCCCCCCCAACCCAAACCTGAAGCAAGAGATCACAAAACCCAATGTGTTCAGAGGCCGGGCCACAAAGTAAATGAGTACAGTGGGTCAAGGACTATCAGAGTCTATCTTTTTTTTTCCTTTTTATTTATTTATTTTTTAAATTAACATATAATATATTATTAGCCCCAGGGGTACAGGTCTGTGAACTGCCAGGTTTACACTTCACAGCACTCACCATAGCACATACCTTCAGATATGAAGAAATATTCCTCTTCTGTAAGAGGACACAACTGGGCAAGCGTGATGATACATGCAATGGATGGTCTGGCTTCATATTGGGGAGACCACAGGGAGTGGTGGGAACAGTGAAAAATTACTGATCACATGGCCATCACAAAGGGAGAGTGATTACTATTTAGCTTCAGAAAATTATGGCCACATGGGAATGTAAGCCCAGTATTACCAGATCTGATTTTTCCAGACAAAGCCAGAGATACAGACATTTTTGTGGCATCTAGTTATTTAAAATATAAGTAAAGCAAACAAACAAAGAAAAACTCTTTTATTTTCTTTTTCAGTCTACACCATAGGCAAAATAAAAGTATAAATTAGACTTGGTACATGCTTTAAAGATAGTAAGTCCCACTCCCAGCTTAGCCTCTAGAGTGGTCTGATTTCTCAAATTATAAGAAGAGGGAGGTTTCTTGGGCTTATACACACTATATCACCTACAGGATTTAGAGTCCTGCTAAGGGCTACAGATGCCCTCTTTTCTGAAGGTAAAAGTCCTCTAAGGAATGCCAGCTCCCAGTCACGCCAGGCTTTCCTTTCATCTGCTTTGGGACCACTCCAATTCCCCACGCCACCTCCCGGACCTGCTCTATTCTTAGCACAGTCACTGCAGTTGAAACGTAAGGTGCTGCTGGTCGTGAGACACTAAGGAAGATCCAACCCCTTTTCCTGACAGTGTTGAAAATGTACTTACTCTTGGCCAAAGCCCACAGGACTTTGACCCACATCCCCCCCAAATCACAATCTCCCCCAAATACCATGTCATAGAATTTGTACCATCTGCTCAGCAAATTTCTAGCTCTGGGAACTATAGAATTTGGTGAAGAAAAATAAAGCAAAAGGCTAACCAAATTACCATCTCTGACACCTCCTTCCCTGAAACACCCAGTTGGCTTGAAATAGGTCTCCATACAAATCATACAAATGGTCACATTTAATCCTAGTACATCAACTGCTGGACAGATGTAAACTCCTCAATAAGTCAGTTGATCTGCAGAGAGGAAGACGAACTCTGGCAATTTCCCAATAAGAATTCTTTGTCCATTTCTAAGGATGAATGTAGTCCATAACACACACTCTCCACATAATAGCCTTATCACCCTTCAGGGATGGGTGACTTTTGTGTATGCCTACTACCACCATACTTCGCCAACTCACAGGGGATTCATCTTCATCCCGGTCAATATAATGCTCTTCCTCAAAGAACTGTGGGCAAAGAGTCACCCTCTATTCAGCTTCTTTATTAGTGGCTGGGGCTAAAGAGAAATGAACTTGAGGTGGCAACCGAGGAAAGATGTCAAATAAGGAGAAATATTACCCAAATATAATCCTGAAGCAAAACAGCCACTGATTCACATCAATTCAGGGGGCCTTGCAGGTAATGGGATAGAAATTAAAAAACAAAAAAACAAAAAACAGGTTGTGATCTTGGGGAGCAGAGGAGAGAGCTCCAAGGGAATGAGAGACAATAGCTTCCTAACGTGGACTTCCTCAGCTCTGGGGCGGGAGGTTATCTCTGGACTCCAGGAGGCGTGGGGGCTTTATTTAGTTCTTAAAGAATGAAGATAAGAGGAAAATAGCCTCTTCAGGAAGCAGGAAAAAAAGGAGGAAAAACATGAATGCTCCTTCATAAGCATCTTAAAGGAGCACCAAGCCAACCGGCCACCCATGAGATTTGGCCACTATTGCTCTGCTCTCCAAACACAGACACACACACACACACCCCCAGCCCCCGCCCAGGACACACACACACACACACACACACACACACACCCAGTCCCCCCCAGGACAGAGGAAGGCCTAGTGCAGGGAGGGGCTGGCGCAGGGACTGGGAGACTGGGAGGCAGGATGGGAAAGCGATCCCATTTCCTCCCACGGAGAGCCAGGCCTCTATGGACATCCTGCACACCCCTCCTGCCATCCTGCAAGCTGGGGAACCCTGAGGCTTTCAGGGCTTTTATCGTATTAGAAGCATTTTTCTCATCATAACTGAGACCTTTAGTATTGCATTAAAAAAATGGTTAATTTTCTTAAGCTTCCCTTTAAACACAGAAATAGGATTAGAAGGATAACATGCTCAGATGCAAGCCCATTATTTGATTCTGTCTAAACCTAATCCTGCCTTCACGTTGGCCTGCAGAGTCTCCATTTTGGGGTTTATTGGTTGATAATGCCAGAGCTGTCAGATACTATTACTTGTGTAGGATCTGTTGCTACGTGCTCTTTCCTCCACTATCAAATGCTGAAGGTTGGAAATTGAATTATAGGATAAGTTCTCAAAGGCTGGCCATCTTTTAGACCTTTGTACTTACTTTCAAAGGAAAAAGAATGATTCAGGCCCCCAAAGAACGGGGACCCTCTCCAGTAAATTCATTTCTGATAACACTCTGGAGGAAAGCCTTATGAGTAACCTTCTTTCTGTTAAGCAGGCTTTCTACTCTTTCACGTTATTAAGAATCAGGAAAAATGGTATTGATGTTAATAAAAAGATCAGAAGAAACAGCTACAGGTGACCATTCTCTGTCCTATTACTTTTCATATTATAGTAAAATCATCTGTCACATCACCTCCTCAAGGGTAGAACTGCATCTTATTGCCGCTGAGTGGCTCACACGATTCCTGACCCAATGCCGGTGTTCAGTAAATACTTGTGTGCCTGAACCAAGAATTCATATCATCTCTGGATTATACACAAAAAGGCACCCTTACCTCATGGGTTTTCTCTGGAGAACTAAAAGGCATGCATGGGCCTGAGTGTCTGAGGCAGAGGCTTGGGACAACCCCAGGAGCACACAGCGCACCTCCCCACCCCAACCCACCTCACCTTCTCCCCTCCCCATCCCAGCAGCTTCTGTGTTTCTTTACCTGTCGCAGTGGTTGCATTTAAAGGGCTTTGCACCTGTGTGTTTCCTGTAGTGCCTCGTGAGCTCATCACTTCGTGCAAAACGCCATTCACACCCTTCCCAGGAGCACTTATAAGGCTTCTCACCTGCCAGAAGAGACAGAAGGACCATGATCAACAAAGGGAACAAAAGGGCCCCACGCCTGATCCGGTTCTGCCACCTATCCATCGTCTTGGAAAGGGGCTGTATAAATCATTCTTGAAAGACTACATTTCCCAATACAGCCGGTCACACTTTAGGCTCCTGGTATTTTGTTGTTGCTGTAACTGCTGTTGTTTTAACCTTCAGAAGTGGTTTCACAGGATCCTCTAACCTGGAGCTGTCACTTCGGTTCCCAGAGTCAGAGCATTTCCTTCAACGGGTGAGGGATCAATTTTTATTTATTTTCTATTCCCTGGAGCACTTTGACCCCCCACTGTCCAAGCAGAAAGGAAATGTGCTATTTTCATCAGAACCACAAATGCTTCTAATTCTATTTTTCCCCAGAACCTACAGTAATTTACCATTTCAGCCTTTTTAGCCTTCCCCCTCCTACCACAGACTGGAGCCAGGGAGCTGACAGCTCAGGTCTCCCAGAACCACTGTTCTTCCAGTAAATGTGAGTGGATGGACAGTCTGGAGAGAGGGCTATGACTCAAGAGTAAATCACCTGAGATTCCTGGCCTTTATGTAAAAAGCAGTCACAAAGTCCTATTTAAGAAGCCCATAACTTAACGGCTACAGACCAGTCATATTAGAGAGAGAGAGAGACAGAGGATTACAAAATATTTTTAAAGCCAACTTGTAAAGCAAGGTTTTAGCCACAGTGAAGCTGCATGTAAGTACGAAATTCGAGCTCTTGTGCTCAAGTGACCTTTTTGCACAGTAAATACAGATGGACGGGTATGTGAGAGAAAGTACACGATTTTTCCTTAGACCTTTTCCTCTGACCCATCAACATCTGTCACCAAACATGGCAAATATTTACCATCCCAACTGTATGGTGGGCTGGTTCTGATTAAGAAGAAAAAGAATCCTAAAAACCCCCACGAGATCGTGAGAGGTACTGAGCCTTCATAACTGAGAGGCAGGTTAGCACAGTGGTCATGAGCCTCTGAAGACCACCGTCTGGGGCCCAGCTTTTCCATGCTGCCCCTAACTGTCTAACCCCGGGCAAGTTAACAAACATGTCTGTGTCTCTGTTCTTCTAGAGATAATACCAGTACATAACTCAAAGTGTTCGGAGAGCATAACTTAATATCCACAGGTATTACATATCAATCAGAACGCTGGCTGGCTCACTTAAGATTCACATCCCTGGTAAATGCTATAAATTGCCAAACCCCAAATTTCAGGGCACACAGGTGCCCAAGCAGTGCTACGGTTGCCCCATTATTGCTCTATTTTTAATAGCCAGACCTTCATGAGGCAGGGCTTAAGGAGACACTGCACAGGTACTATACTTGACCCACTTTCTTCTTTCCACCTTTTTCCTTCCCTTTAAACCTGACTACAAAGTGCTCACAATTCTTTATTTGTATCACCTAGAATTGAACCAAACATGATTGAAAATTTTATTTCATTAAATCGAAGCCCTAGTGAGCCACTGCTCTATAAGGCCCGTAGAGAAGAGGAATGAGAAATACAGGTATTTCTTTTAAAAGGAACCAAGGGGACATGAAGGAGGGCTAGAAGCACAGGAGGAAACCCATTCAGTTTTGGAAACCAGGAAAAAAAAAAAAAAAAAAGAATCACTGAGCAGTGTTAAAAGTTCACCTTCTGGATCCTTAAAGCCAAAATTTTAGAAAATTACGCCTGCTGAAGAGAAGTAGCAGAAGGGGGGTTGTCCAATCAACTTTGGAGTTAACACACCTGGGATCGGAATTCATTAAGAGTTCATTACAGAATATGCCTCAGTGTCCTTCTCTGTTAAATGGGGCTGAGCTTCTCATGTTTGCTGTGAGGTTTAAATATGTTGTTATGTAGAGGACACATATCCTGAGCCAGACACAAGGTAAATATTCTATTAATTTCAAGTTCTCTTCTTCCCACATACACCTGTATTCTCAGAAGCTGTCTAGAGGTTGTCCCCCAAAACTTCTGGAGCTCAGGCTCCAGACAGCTGAGTCTGGAATCACTCTGGGCAACCTAAATATTCAAAAAACAGTGTTCTTAAGTTTTAAGTATTTTCTCAGTATACTGATGGAGAATGTGCCAGAAAAATCCAGTGCTCTTTCAATCTACTCTGAAGGAACGGGATACTGAGGGGAAGAAGAGACCCCCGTTGGAGAGAGGTGTGCCCTTCCTGAGAGGCATGTTGGCAACATTTACTTAAAGTGATTGATTGCCCACCAGGCTCCATTACTTCAAGGAAATCTGGCACAAACAAACAAACAAACAAAAAAGGAGAATGAGGCACTTTAGAAATTCACAATACCTCCCACCCCCCTGAGGTTTTCAAAGGCAAGTAACACTGGAGGTTCCTGGAACCTGAGGGACCCAACACACCTCAAATGCAACAAGGCATCTGGAAAACCCACGACATTCTACAGCAACAAGCAGAGACATCTAGTCCCCAGAATCAATCCCACAATCGAACTAATCCGTCCATCATAGGCAACCACATTTTGAAGGACAGAGGAAGGACAAAGAGAAAATGGAGGTTCAAGAGGATGTCTTCAGGTATTTTTGAAAAATTGTTATTTCAAACTGTTTGGTTTTCCCCTTGGCGAATTTTTTAAAAAATAGTTTTGTTTTGACAATTAATATTAATGATTTATTTACTTCCCAGAAAATAATGTGGACTCAATTATGGAATAAACCAATTACCTATCCCGTGGCTATTTCAGTATCCCTTTTGCCAGTGGATAGACAGAGACTACAGATAGTTTGCCTTGGCTTTGAGTTGTATCACCTAACATTGTTTCCTGCTAGCAGAAGAAGCTCCTTTGTGTCCTGATAGTTTACCAAGATATATTATGATGCTTCATCAAGCTCTTTTCCAGGGTCTGATCCATTTACCTATAAATTGCCATTTCTGCAAAAACTCACTAATATGACCTTAAAATAACCAGGAAAGAACTTGACCAAATGAAGAAGCAGTACCCGATGCAGGCCGAGTACAGAAATCAGAGGAGCAGGAAAATATATAGAAAGAACTGGGACGAAGACTTCGTATGTAGGGCTCAGAAATGGTGGGCTTAGGTCGGCCTCATTTCCAGGTTCCATATCTGCTTCTGTAAACCGGTGTCTACTTGAAAGGCAGCAGTGAAAATCCTCTGGCAGTAGTTTGCATGGCCACGATCACGCCTCCCCAGACACCAGCACCCACTGCTTGATGTTGGGGGCAGAAGCACCTATATCCACATTGCATTAGTTTTCATCTGAACAGCCTACCTAAAGATTTCTGTGTGTGTCATAAAGAGCTTGGGTTTCTCTCTTTATAGAAGAATGGCCTCCTTTCTAAAAGGAAGGAAGAAGGGAAGAGAAAGGGGACAGAGGGAGGGAGGGAAGGAGGAAGAAAGCAAGGAGGGAGGAAAAAGAGAAACGGGCAGTCAGTTGCAACTGAAGCAAACTTCATGCAAAATCAGCTTATTTCCTTCATTCTGCCTTCTCTTTCACCCTCCTTCTCTCCTTGCTCCACTCCAGGCACTATAACTGGGTAGAAAACAGAAAATGGCTTACCCTTGCCCAATGCTGTACTGTATGGCACCTGGGATAATGCCTGCCTTTCAGCTTATGGCAACTCAATAATGATCAGAAATGTGAAGGAGAGGTCTGCAGGAGACAGGCAGATGGGATAGAGGCTTAAAACATTAGGACTCAAGTCTGGAAGGCATGTGCGGATGAAGGCGGGCACAGCACAAACCAGATGGACGAGGGGGCATGCTAGTGCCTGCATAGTTCAGGGGGCCAGAAAGGGAGACCCTGTCAGAAACCCCCTGAACTGCAAGGGGAATATCAAAATCTACTTTTGCTATTTGGAAATTAGCCCCAGGAGACGTGTGTCCCTCAGAGGTGATAGTAGGTCTAATCAGGTGTAAATACATTTATAGCCATCCGAGGGTTCTTAAGGAGAGCTAAGGATGCTTGAGAAACAGGACTTGACATTTAGCAAGGTTGAATCATGGCAAGAATTCATGCTCTCCCACAGAATGGCCTCTGAAATGGAATGTGGGCTAAACCAGAATGGCATTTTTTTTTTTAGTTTCTTCCAGAGTAACTCTCTCTACATCACGATCATCAAATTTGATTGGCCAAAATGCACACAAATACCTTTGAATATGCACCTCCAATATAAAAAGATTTATTCATGAATTGTATAAATGTACTGATGTCCTAATATGTTACGATATTATAAAATATGCTTTCAATACAGAAATTAAGAGGAATGAGAGTAAATTAATACAAATAGAAGGTTTATATTTTTTTTTCCTACACTCAGAAAGACTGTGTTGTACACCCTACTTTAGAGACCACCGCCCCATAGGATAAATAGAAACAGCTTGGGTCCAAGCCCACTGGTCTTGGTGCTTCCAGACTTGGTTCCCGCCGTCCATTCTCCCTACAGCCGTCCGAGGAATCCTTTCAAAATATAATCTGTGCAGGTGGGTCCTTCATAGGGGACTTTAGTCTCTATATTTCCATATAATTGGTTTTTCTGACATCCCCTGGATTCTATTTTGTGCATTTGAAATCATTCTACAAAGCATTCCACAGACCTCACCGTACTGCCAAAGAAGTTCATGACCCAAACAAGGTTAGGAAGAAATTACAGTGGGAGTGTTGCCGTGGCTTCCTGTCGTTCTCAGAATTCAAGTCAAAAGCCTATGCAGCCCTGTGGTATAGAGTCTATACGATCCAGCCCCTTTCTAATCTCATCTCCTACTCCCGTCTCAGGGCCTTTTCACTTACTAACCCCTCTGCCTGGAACCCTTGCTCCCTCACCTCATTCAGGTCCCTGCTCGAGAGCCCTGCCCTCACCCATCCTCTGTTAAAAAAAAAAAAAAGTGATTCTGTCACTTTCCCCACACCACTTTTTTTTTTTTTTTAATTTATTTATTTGACAGACAGAGATCACAAGTAGGCAGAGAGGCAGAGAGAGAGA